TCCTTTAGAATGGGAGAAGTTGTTTAAGTTGTTTAAGAAGTTGAGGCTCTAAATCCTTTCAGCAAGCCTACAAATCTTGTGTCTTGTGCCAGGTACTTTGCTCTAGGCATGTGAAGAAAACAAAATGTGGCATTCCCCCACAGAATGGAAGACACAGTCCACCAGGGGAGATGAGGCATTCGTGGTGGTAGTGATATTAAACTAATAATAATGATTTCTTTAGAAGTTCAGGGGAGGAAGAGATTTGAGTTGGGATTCAGGCTATTCCTAATGAGATGCAGGAATTGGTATCAGTCACATTTCCTCCCCAGCTTTTCTTTGTGACTCAGGTAAATGATGTCAGCCTCTGTGCCTTCCCTAGATTGTATGTGTGGCCCCAGAATGGGTGGGCCCAGGAGTGAAAGATGAAAGCCCATTTAAGGTGACTTGACAAGAGAAGCAGTTCCTTAAAAGATGTAGAATTGCCAGAAGTCCTTGGGCCTGCTTCCTTGGTGCATATTCCCTAAATTCTGATAAGCTCAGAGCCTATAACTTCCTATCAAAATTTGCGGTTGGTAAGTTTTCCTGTCCCAGGCACAGGATCAAATGTATTTTCCCTAATGGCCTCAAGGATTATCTGTCTTTCTTTCTTTTCTGAGTGATAATAGTGTAGTTTTCTGGTCATAAACAGGCAAGTTCTGAAATACTGATGTCCATGGCATAGGAATTGTCTTTCTAGACTTAAGCCATAAGGAGATGCGCCCTGTTTGGAAGCATCACTGTTGGATGAGGGTTTTTTTAATTGCACGTGTAACTGAATTAGAAGCTTGATCTTTAGTCCTAGCCTAGACATTTTGACGCATGCTTTGGTACTAGACAAGGGCAAGCCTTGTAAACGTCTCCTTAATGTTTCAGCATCAAGGGGATGCTTCAGATCTTCTTTTTGCCCTGGTATGTGATAAGGGTCTCACACCCAAGCCGTTGTGCCTCCTTGTCATGGGAGAGGCCTATGTGGACTTGGCAAGGAGATGCCATTAACTAAAAGCTGACTAAGCATAGTTCATAAAGGGACAGAACTGGAAAGGCCTTCAGAGATTATCTGGCCTCCTCTCATCTCTGCCAGCCCTGAAATGACAAACTAGTTAAGTAGCTTGTTTATAGCAGCTGTTTTTAGCCTGTGAATCATCAGAAAATGTTGCTATTGGTTTCAAAAACTCGATTTCTGAAAGACTGCATTCAGGCATATGGTCTTTAAATATAGGATATGTATGTCCCTAAACATTTATTAAGTGGCTTCTCTATGCCAGGCATTCTGCTAAGCACTGGAGATACCAAAGGAGGCAAAAGGTACTCCCTCCTCCTGGTCGCACAACATGTATTAAGGATGAAGCAGGATAATAATTGAGATCTTTTTTTTTTTTTTTTTTTTGGCTTGGCAGTGGGGTTAAGTCACTTGCCCAGGGTCACACAGCTAGTGCATGTTATATGTCTGAAGCCGCATTTGAACTCAGGTCCTACTGATTCCAGGGCTGGTGCTCTGTCCACTGAGCCACCTAGCTGCCCCCAATTGAGATTCTTTTAGTGAATACTTATAATTCCATTTCTTAATTTTCCTCATCAAATAGCATTTATAAAATTGTTTGGTACTATTCTACATGAAATACAGAGAATTATAACATTGTACTTCTTATTATCAGAGGGCTTAAACTCTAAGACACCTTCAGGCAAAACGGCCTGTACAGATAATGAACAGAGTGTAAATATGTGTTCATGAAGAGGATAATAATTCCGTTCATCAGCGAGACATCCAAGTAGAGGCTTAGGAGTTTGAATCAAGTAGCACTAAAGAAAGCTGCCTTTCCATGGCATATTCAGAAGAGCAACTCAGCCAGTTATTCCCTGCAGGTAACATCCTATCGACCAGCCCCACCATCCTCCTGAAATAATTTTGTGTTACTTTGTGCACAAGTACCTGGAAGTGTTTGGAAGCCCTGCCCTCCCTCCCTCCCCTCCAATAGCATACAGGCTCCCTCAGGGCAGGGCTGTATTGTTTGCCCTTTTATCTCTGGTGCCAAACACATAGTAAGCACTTGGGAAACCTTCCTGAATGAATACTGCGATCAGAAGACCAGGATCCTGGTCCCCCATCCTTCCCCATGCCAGCAATGTAACTAAGCAAATCCCATGACTTTTCAGAACCTGCTTCTTCATCTGCAAAGTCATCCTTGAAATATTTGCCTCCGTGATTCATTGTAAGGAAAGCACCTGGTCAGTCATAAAGCCTCATCTAAATATGAGCTGTTGTGGACAGGGCAGTCAGCAATAGCGGCTACATGGAAAAGGGGGAGCAGAAACCTTGGCAGACTGGACGAAGAACATTCCAAGTCCATGCTAGTGCTTGGGTAAATTAACATGTGGGAGTTAGAAGGGGTAGAAGGAAAGGACGCCGAGAGACAGGACTCCGGAATCAAAGCTCCTTTTAAAGGGCAGAGGTGTGGAACCTGGAGAAGATAGGGTGTGAAACACAAGAGCTGCGTCCGGGTATTGGAAGGGCCCTCAAGGGAAAGAGGGCTTAGACATGGCAGAATGGAGAGGGGTGGGGGCAATGGAAGAAAGGCAGGGTTAGGCTCAACTTTTTAAAAATTCTTCATAAACAGAGTTGTCTAAAAGTGAACATCATCACACGGCTTCCAAAAATAATCTTCTAAGGAGCAGGTCAGCCTCTGCTCAGAACCCTCAGTGGCTCCCTCTTGCCCAAAGCCTGAGCCAGGCATCTCTACAGCCTGGCTTCTGCCTGCCTTTCCAGAATGATGTCCTGTTCTCCACTGCTAGATGCTGTATTCTGGCCCTGATGCCACTTCTCCCCACAGGTGCCAGCACTCTTGTCCTTTTCACATCCCCTCCTGTCACACTGGTCTCGGGAGGTTTTTTCTCCAGAGCAGAGCGTACATTCACCCTTCAAGACACATGCTGGTTTTGCTTGTCTTTGTATCCCCTACCCCAGTACAGTTTCTTGTTCATAGATACATAATAAATTTTTTTGAAATAATTTGCATTGAAATAGGCTGCCTTGGGACATGGCCATTTTCCTCTTTGATGGAGGTCTCCAAACAGAATTTGAATGATCACTTGTCAGGGATGTTTTAAGAGAAACAACATGCCTTGGAGGAGAGGTAATGTGGTCCTGGCCATGGCCCACTTTAGCAGAAACATGGGAGAAGGGCAGGAGTTCCTGATGCGTCAGGAACTCTGGTGAGCAGGCAGTTGCTGTTGTCCAGTTAGAAGAGTCAGGAAATGATCATCACGTCCTGAATTATGGCGTAGGAAGCATGACACCAAGTTGAAAGTGGAGGCAAAATGTCTAGTTTGGAAGGTTGGTAAGTATCAGTATTGCCTCTTGCTACGGAGAAACTGGTCAGATCATGGTCACTGAGAAGAGCAACAGCTCTGCTCCTGGCGTGTGGTGAGCCAGCCATTCGTGACCATGGAAAACGAGGTCACACAGGCCACTCCGGTTATGGCCGGTGATTGATGTGTGTGCGTTTAACAGCAGAGCTTCCCCGCCTCCCACCATCTGTTCTTTAGGCTTCTGGTTGGCCCTGGAATCTCGCAGTAGGGAGCAAGTCAGCGTGCTAAGCACTGTCAGAAGCAGTGTCAGCTCATACCTTCAAGGAGCTTCTGTTCTGGGGTGGTGATGAGGAAGAGCAAGGAGAATGAGGCGCAGAGTGTAAGGGGTCAAGGACAATTTCAGTCACAGACAAGTCTGTGCGTCTCACTTCATACCCCACGTGCCCGTGGTCTGCATTCCTTTCCACCCCTCATCCCTCACCTTCTCTTCATGTATCCATCACTTCCTGGTGTCTCTGCTTCCCTCCACCTCTCACCTGCCCTCCTTCATCTTCTTTTCCCGCACACTCTGGTCCAGTCTTCACTTATCAGTTGCATTCAGCATCTGGCCCATTTGTTCCTACTTTGGCTTTAGCTGTTTCTGCTGCTTAAGGCAGCTGATTTCCTGGACCCTTGTATTTGGTGCATATGTACCCTCCTGTGTATTTCCTAACAGTATTGATGTGGAACAATTATTGTGTGTGTGTGGCCACACATTTCTGTTCCCAAAAATGAATTGTAACTGGTAAATCTTGTCCTTAAATAGATGAGTTGGTGTTAATTATACCTTGGACTTTTAGACAGGTAACTTTTTTAAAAACATTCTTTTATATGTTTATAGACCAGATAAAGAAACTCTTAACCAGATCTGCCTTAATTGAATCTAGATTTTCCTCTTGTGATTGTGGATGGAAGAATCTTTGAGACACCACATTGAAAATACTTGGATATATTGAATGATAAGGGGCAGCTAGGTGGCGCCATAGTGCACAGAGCGCTGGGCCTGGAGTCAGAAAGACTCCTCTTCCTGAGTTCAAATCCGGCCTCAGACACTTCCTAGCTGTGTGATCCTGGGCAAGTCACTTCACCTTGTTTGCCTCAGTTTCCTCATCTGTAGAATGAGCTGGAGTAGGAAATAGAAAACCATTCCAGTTATCTTTGTCAAGAAAACCCCAAATGGGGTCATGAAGAGTCTGAAATGACTGAACAGCAACAAAATTGAATGATAAATTGTTTTTAACGTGTTCACATTCCATATCCTGAAAAGATTTCTGTTTTCCATGCATCTAGACTGTTAGAACATGGACAGCTGATACCTGGTGGAAATTTTCATTTCTCCAAATATCAGGGGGATCAACATAGCATAAAGCGAATCCTTTAATTTGTGGTGTTTGTGCTTACATTGGGTTTTATGTTGAAAAGAGGGTTTAAGCCAGGGCAGAGAGTTGGGGAGGAGCCCTCAACTCTGCTTCTGAATCTCCTCCTTATCTTCAGTTTTGCTAATTCACTGAGAACTTGTAAGCCTTGAAAAGACCTTTGACCTAGGACTCCCACCCTCAGTCACGTGTCTGGGCTGTCTCCCTGTGTGCCTCCCACCACTGCCCAAGCACTCACTCATTCCTGTTCCCTTTCAGCTCTCGCCATGGGCCTCTGTGTGGCCATGATCGCCTTCGTCCGCCTGCCGAGCCTCAAGGTCTCCTGTTTGCTTCTTTCAGGCCTTCTAATCTATGATGTCTTCTGGGTAAGTTTCCCTTTTCCTGAAAGCACGTGCTCCATGTTTGCAGGGGGTGGTCCTTCTTTGTGCCCTTCAGCTGGGCATAATTCTATCCCCAGAATTGAAGCCTCATCCTTCAAGCTTTGACTAGAGGGCATCCAGGTCATTTAAACCTATCTGAACTCTCACAGACCCTCCACAGGTAGAAGCCAAAGTGAAGGGACGTTGAAATCTGCCTTTTGGTGGAGGAAGGAAGCAGGAAGCCTTCGCCTGCTATGCTGAGCGCTCTTCTGAGGGCTTTCCGATGGTTTTCTCATTTGGTCCTCACACCAACCCTGAGAGGGAGGTCCTGCGATTATCCCCATTTTACAGTTGAGGATGCTGAGGCAGGCGGAGGTTACGCAGCTAGCTAGGAAGAGTCTTGGTCACATTCGAACTCGGGGCTTCCCGACTCCAGGCCCAGTGTTCTGTGCACTTATGGCGCCCCCTAGCTGTGATGGTTGCCTTAAGAGGCTATTTGTGGAAGGACATTCAGAATTAAGGACCCACTGGTAGCAAAGGTTTTCCCCCATTTGTCTTCACTTAAAACATGTGATGGTGTGCCAGCCATTATAATTTGGCAAAACCATCCCAGATGGATTAGAAGCACAAGCCACGTAGCCCCCTGGGTCCCCATTGGCCTCTAATTTGCTGAGGCCCTCCCTGCTGGTCAAGCCCTGTGCGTCCACCTACTGTGTGCATTTCCTTCTTCCAAGCAGACAAAGGTCCCAAGGATCAGAGACCAAGAGCTAAAATGAACTTCAATTTAGCACTCCCATTTTAATTTAAAACAAATCTTAAAAGCAGTGTGTCCATAGCCATGCATTTCAATAAATAAGGGATTGGTTTCTTTTAATCACATTTAATTTACCAAATTGTGAATGCCTCAGCATAATACCATAGGGTGACCTGTAGAATGACTTGCTTCCTGAGTTTCACCAAAAATCATATTTTCATGAGACTAATGGCCTCAGGCCAGGCACACCTTGAGAGTAAGAAAATGGGGAGAGAAATAACTGAAGATCATTCCTGTATTCATGTTTCCTACGCTAACATCCGTCTCTGTTTTCCAGGTCTTTTTCTCTGCCTACATCTTCAATAGCAACGTCATGGTCAAGGTGGCCACCCAACCAGCTGACAACCCCCTTGACGTCTTATCCCGGAAGCTTCACCTGGGACCAAATGTGGGCCGAGACGTTCCTCGATTGTCTCTTCCTGGAAAACTGGTCTTTCCGAGGTAGGAATGCTGTGTTGAGGCTTTTAAGCACGTTATGTGCAGTTAATATTGGCAGCAGACATGCAGATAAAATCACCCTGAGGGGGAGGATGCCCGCATTGTCTTTCAGTGAAGTGTTTTCTCACTTTAATTTTCTTCTCTTGCCCATAACCATCTGATCTCAAGTTCAGCCCTTTGCTTTCTCTCTCCAGGACACTGTGACTCTATTGTTCCCATTTCACAGATGAGGAATACTGGCTTAAGCACCCAAAGTAGTGAACTAGGTGCTTGGTGATAAAGGGCAAGTTTAGTGCTGACTCATCTGGTTGAAGGGGATTAGCCCTCCTCCTCCTCCTCTTCTCCTGCAGCAGCATCTGCAGGCTCTTCCCTCCCCCCAGCCCAGCCCAGGGGTAGCCCCCATGGGGCCTGGGGCAGGACCCAACATCAGAATTGCCTCTTTCCCAAGAGACAAGCAGAAGGCCAGCTCGGTCTGCTGCTACCTGGGGGTGGGGCAGGGGAGGTCCGGGCCTGGGCCTGGGCCTGGGCCCCACCCCCCATGGCTCTGCTGCTCTCTAGCTCCACAGGCAGCCACTTCTCCATGCTGGGCATTGGCGATATCGTGATGCCGGGCCTCCTCCTGTGCTTTGTGCTGCGCTATGACAACTACAAGAAGCAGGCCAGCAGTGACTCCTGTGGGGCGCCGGGCCCAGCCAACATCTCGGGCCGCATGCAGAAGGTCTCCTACTTCCACTGCACTCTCATCGGATACTTTGTAGGTAAGAGACGGCGGCTCCAGGCGGGGGCAGCGGAGCATAGACCCGGGGTCCTTCACATTCTCTCTGGAGAGACATGCACCCGAACGTTCATTTAAGTCAAGGGCCCTCCCCAGCCAGGCAACGCCATCTTACCGTTTCTCACCCGCACTTTCCACGTGCCCAGAGTGATAGGCAGAGCTCCAACCCAGATCTTCCCGAACCCTCAGCCAGCTCTGTCCTCCAGACAGCATTGCAGCAGAATACTCCCTGGACTGATGGAATGGCAAGCCCAGGCCCAGCTTTCTCTCTTACCTGTGGATTAGAGGGTGTACTCCTCAGTGCCAAGACCAGAATCAGTCTGGGGACATGCATGCAAAGAGAAGGGTCCCTGTCAGAGCAGTGAGCTGCACCAGGTTCCAGCACACCCCCTGCTGAGAGGACGCAGAGGCCCAATGTCCTGTGTCTGAGAGGAACGGCTCCATTAAGGGCTGTGCTTAAGGGGAGGTGTGGTCATTGTCCTCGAAAGGGAGGGTTTGCACTGACTGAAATCCTCCTTTAGGAGAATTCCATGGATGGCTGCTCAAAAAAAAGAAAAAAACAGTGCTGTTTTTATTTAACACACCTCAGTCATCTCCCCCAAGTCAGTAGCTAGGTCGAGCCAAAGAGATGCCCACGTCTGGCCATGTCAGTAAAGCTGGGCCTCGTTGTCCAGCCTGCTGCTGGCTCCTTTCTCTTTGCCACAGGCTGGGCTGTGGGGTGGCCAGGCCTCAGAAGGCACGCTAGATTGTTGCTGGCCTCAGATTTCTGAGGTCTTTGAGGAAGTCGGCTTGTCCACTTGAGATTTCTTTAATCAGATTCTATTCATTTACCCCCAGAGAAAAGCAGTCCCCAGCGTTGTCTTTATAGACTCCTCATGCGGAGGGCCCGCCCCTGGGTCCAGGTGTCAATGCTCCCCGGTACCCCAGGTCGGGGGAGGGGTGGCCCTCATTTCACCAGCATCCTGGCCTGCCCAGCGGAGGAGAGATGTATTTGGAAGTGAAAATCCTGGGGCTCTGCCCTTCCAAAAGTCCTTCGAGGAGATTGGAAATGAGGGCGAATAACTAAGCCGCCAGAAGGGAAATCCCAGGGAGCCCTTGGAATGTTTGGAATACGTTTACCTCCACTCTCTCCTTCTGTGAGGGAAAGCAGGACAGATGAGGAAGCTGAGACTTTGGAAGCACAGTAAGAAGAGCACCCCCCCCAGGAGTCGGGGCCTGGGCCAAATCTCCCCCTGACATTTACTTCCTGGGTCCCTTGGGGCAACTCACTTTGCCTCCTGGACCTCAGCTTCCTCATCTGTAAAATGAAGGGAGATATCTGTGAAACTGAGAATGGCTAAGTGACTTACCCACGGTCACACAGCCAGTAAGCGATGGAGCCGTGGACTTGAACCCAGATCGTGTGACCAGGGATCTTTTCTCAAAACCTCAGAGATGGAGGTAAGAGTGAGACCAAGGCCAGGGTTGAGATGACGATGTCAATGAGAAATGGAACAGAGGACCAGAAGATGGCCTTGGATGGAGCTGGGCCTCTCACCTGTCCACTCACCTTCTTATGGTGAATAAAATGGGCAATAAACCCTGACAATTTAGGATTACACCCAAGTCCAGTAGAAAAGTTCCCCCAGTCTTCATCAGATTACATTTGTTTCCTGGGCTTTTATATTACCTTGTCTGAGGATTTTTTAGGTAGCCAAAAAATTATCAGTAGTTTCCCCAAACATTTTTGTCTTTGTGGTGGAAGATATGAATTTTTTTTAGCTTTGTGAGGATGTAATAGAAAGTAAATTGAAATAAATGATTGACTCACTGTGGAAAAAAGAAAAGAAAGGAAAGTTCCCCCAGGCTCGGGCTGCTGGGTGGGCGCCCTCATAGCTTGTCTCCTCCTGCAGGCCTGCTGACTGCCACGGTGGCATCTCGGATCCATCGGGCTGCCCAGCCCGCCCTCCTCTATTTGGTGCCCTTCACCCTGCTGCCGCTGCTCACCATGGCCTATTTAAAGGTGAGACGCCCTCTCCATCTCAACACTGGTTTTCTGTTTCTGGCAGCCTGGCAGCCACGTGGCGTGCCCGCCTTCTCGCTTGTACCGTGCATGCCTCCCCCCAGGGGTCAGTTGTGTCCGGTCCAAGGAGCCGTGGATGGAGAGTCTTTGGGGCTTATTTTGAAAGAAGCAACCAGTCGTCAAGCTCTAACCCTCTGCTTAGTGCTTGATATCTAAAATTTGGAAATATTAGTTTGAAACTCTGAATTTGAGGAAAGGGATGAAATCTGTGTCTTGTTGGAATGTAGCTCTAGGCAGAGGGGAGAGCCCCGACCAGGAGACTTTCCTGAAAACCACATGGCTGTGACTTTCAGGCTGTGCTTTGGAAGAACTAAGAATGTGTCTTTAAGTGAAGCGTTTTTGCAATCACAAATTACAGTGAGTAAATTTTGGGTGCCAAGCACTGGATTCTTTGCAAAAATAACTTGATATCCTAGAGCTAGAACCAGGAAGAGGTGGTGAGTTGGTTAGCTTGCACAGGGCGCGATGGGCCGTGTAATGACACCAGCTCTCGTTCTCTCCTAGGGCGACCTGCGCCGCATGTGGTCTGAACCTTTCCACTCCAAGGCCAGCAGCTCCAGGTTCCTGGAAGTATGATGGATCAGCTGGAAAGTGACCAGACCCTGCTGTGGTCCTTTTCCCTTGACTCGGTGGTGGTTTTGTTCCCTCCCAGAGCGGTCCTGGCCCTCAGAGGTCCTGGCCTGGGGTGCTAGTCTGACCTGACTTTGCATTGAAAGGGGGACTGAAGCCCCAGAGACCCCCTTGGATTCCTTTCTCATGCACATGTGGAATTGAAGCCACCTGGTGAAGCTTCCATCCTCCCCCTTCTCTGTTTTTATGGACCTGCCCGGCTGTCCTCTTGGTGAGGGAGGCGGGGCCTGGACATGGCAAGGAGCCGTCCAGGAGCCGTGGACCGGACCTTCTTCAGGGAAGCCTCCCCCACTTTGGGACAGGGTTCCCAGGGGGGCTTCCTTCCAGAGACCTGAGATGACAGAACTACTTCTGTCATAAGAATCTTTTTTGGATTGATTAAACCTTTTCTGTGGTGTAAAATGACTTATTAAATCCACAGACAGACACAGAGTGACTTCTTACAGTATACATATAAGAATTTGTTGTAATGAATTACATTTCCACCCAGATGTCATGTTGGCAGTGAATAAGGGCACGGTTTTTATACATGGACATGCGCGCATGCGCGCACACACATAGGTCTATGTGTGTGTACATATATATGTATATATATATATGTATATATACGTGTGTGCTGCCTGTATACGTATATATACATATACATGTGCACACACGTGTGTGTGTGTGTATGAACCGAGAAGAAGCTCTGCTGTGCTCAAGCCGCGAGCTGTCAGATGTGTTCGCCGTGACCTGGAGTGCAGGGCGGCCTCCCCCACCAGCCCTGCACTGGCCGAGATATGCTTGGCGTAGCAAACTAGGGAAGCAGACGTCTGGACCCCGCGGGGCCCCTTCTTGTTTTCCTTTTCACAGACCTCTCCCTAACAGCTCCTGTTTTTTAGTCGTCTCTTCCTAAACCAATGCATGTATCATAGCCGCAGAAGTCTTTGTGCTTTCTGATCAAGTGATGTACCACGTGTAAATACATTTTTTCTATTTTCTATTTTTTTTTGTATTTTTGGCATTTTGTTTCATTAGTATTCTGTATTTTCCATGCCCTCACTCCTTTGAAAAAAAAGAAAAAAGAAAAAGAAAAAAAGAGGCAAAACAACAAAACAAAACAAAAACCTGTCTTTTGCTGTTGTGACCCTGGTCCAAGTTTACCTGCTGTGACAGCTTTGTCCCTGGGACTCTGGTAAAATGTGGACTTTTCTAACCGAGCGATTCTGGGTACATTATTTTTCACGACTGGAAAGGACTTTGTCTAAACCAGAGCTGCTGTCTCATCCTTAGACTCCGTGTAGATGTGGGGCTAGGGGTTTAGGCTGAGGAAATCCTCGGATAAGCTCTGGACTCCAGGGATTAGAGAAAGCAGGGGCCAGCTCTTGTGACCTGGCTAGCTGTAGGCCCTGACCACAGCTGTTGCCTAGTGTTTGTGGAGCTGCTCACAAAGACACCACGGTCAGTGGGAGAGCAGGGGACAGTACCCAGGGGCCCGACTTTCCTCCCAGCCGTTTGACCCTACTCACTCTTTGATCCTGCTGTGTCTTTGGCATAAGTGTTCCCATTGCCCTAAGTGATCCTCGGTGTAGCTCAGAGAGAAGGGGCTCAGAATTGTGTCAAGACACGTTGAGGTTCATGGGGCCATATTTTCTTCTGCAAATCCTGCTGAATTTTACAAAACTTTCCTGGCTTTTCTCCTGTGCTTCACTCGGCTGTCTGATACCTGTCTTCTTTACCTGTTAGGGAAGACTGATAGGCATTAAGCTTAGTGCAGGCTATCTACACTGGCAGTCTCCTGCCTCAGCTTAGCTTGCCTGATGAGTCTCCAGACTCAGCTCTTACCCACAGAATTGAAGCAAAACACCCCTGATATAGGCTCCCTACTCTCTACTTACAGCTATTCCCTTCTTTTACATACCTGGCTAAATTTGTTCAAGGAAATCCGGTGATTTCTACAGAGAGAACATGCTCATTTGTTAAGAAATCCCAGGGGATCATGTGGTTGGTAGGGGCCCAAAACAAATGCAAACGTTTGTCCCTTAGATGTTCCACCATTCATTGGCCAAATATATTTGGCCTTTAGGAAGGGAAGGAGGGATGGCTTTGGTGTCTTCCCAAAGAAGTCCCCTTCCTTCTGAGACTTAGGAAATATTGTCCTCCTGGCTTCAGAGTTCTGTGGGATGCTCTGTCCATCTTCAGGCCTTTTGCTGTTCCACCCTCTGGTTCTTTTACATTTCATAGTGGGTTTTAGAAAGTATCTATCATTAGAACCATTTAGACTCTAGAGCAAGATCCTCCAAGTTTTTGTATTGGCTTTGAATAGTAAGTGTGGGTTCAGTGGAAAGAAGACTGGATTTGGAGTCTCACGGACCCAGATTCAAATCCTGGCTCTGCTGTTTTCCAATCAATATGTCTGTGGAGAAGTCACTAAACCCCACTGGGCTTTGTCTGTCCTCATCTGTAAAATACCAGCCCAGGATTAGACCTTCCGTTCCCAAATCTATGATCTTATTATCCGAATCCTAAGGAATAGCCCAACATTAAATGGAAACAGAAAGAATTGGGCCTTTGGCCATCCACCGTGCTGTGTGCACGCCCTCAGAGACCATCCCATCCAGCACACGCTGGCCAAGAATCTTCTGCAAGTGGCCATCCAGCCTTCACTCAAACACCTCTAATAAGAGGTGACTCCCTACCTCCCAGTGCAACCTGTGCTACTGGGGGAACTCTGATTGTCAGGACATCTCCCACAGCCCACCGAAGACTGGGGGATGGAGAACAATGACCCTTGGCCAGCCTTGAGGCCTCAACCCAGAAGTCTTCTCAAGCTCGAATCCGTTTCCAGTCCCTTCCGTTACTCCTCAGATGGCATCCCAAGGCTGCCTCTGACTCCTTGCACTTCCTAACCCCATCCCTCCCCCCAGATCTACCCCGGCCTTTGTTGTCTTGGTGAAGTTTTTTTCAAGCCTAGTGTAAGACCATCATCTTTACTTGAGCCCAGTGATGTGGCCTGTCAAGATCTTTTTAAATCCAGATTTTGTTATCTATTGCATTAGCTTTCCACCCCAATCCACTTATTTATCCAAGTATTATCTCATTCACAAAAGGCAAGAGTCCTGTTCTATTCTTTGATCTTCTTTCCTCCCAATACAGTTTAAAAGAAATTGAATCAACCATTTGGTTCTCCTTAGTTTCCCCTATCATCCCCAGTTTGTTCTGAGTTTTAGCATTCCAATCACTATTCTTACAGGCCTATCAATAGTCAATCAACATTTATTAAGCACCTACTATGTGCCTGGCACTGTGCTAAGTGATAGAGATACGAATGCATGGGATAAAAAGGAAGACAGCTCCTGCCCTCAAGGAGATTTCAGTCTAACGGAGGAAGACTAACCACCAAAGGAAGCTGAATACGTGGAGGATGGGGAGGAGAAAGTACCTGAGAGGGGGACATGGAGAAGACGCAGAAGCCCCCATGGCAGTGCAGCCAAGTGATATCCCTAATTGGAGGGTCATGTGTTCTACAACTGCCTCTTTCTTGGGTTTCCAGTGAACTCCTGGGTGTGTCTACTTCCATTCTTCTGCCCCTGGAGCTAGTGTCTGGCTCATTAAATCTCCTTTTCATCTGATAGACTTTTGGAAGTGATTTGTAAGACTTCTTATTAGATAGGATTCATCCCCTGACAAGAACCTGCCATCCATCTTCAGCTGTGGTCCAACCAATTCAACAAACCGTTGTAGTGCAGACTTCTGCACGTCACTTGGCTTTTCATTCATTTTTCTTTCCTTTGGGTGTCTGGTAGCTTAGCTGTTGGCCACCAGGAAGGAACCCGGGGTGCCCTCAGACCTTGGCTCTTCATTGATCTCAGCTTCTTCCCAAAGAGGCAATGCCCTGCTGTTTGTGAGCATGCTAAAATTTTTGCTTCTTCGAATTAACTCTCCACCTTCCTCATTTGGAGTAACGAAGAACTGGAGACGGTCTGAAACCCATCTGCTACACACAGCTGGAGTTTCTCAGCAGGGACCTCATTTGTTGAGGTTTGGGCTCATCTTGTTTGGTTTCCTAATGTCTGAAATTAAAAAGACCCTAGGGCTTTCCAACCTGCCAGCCGAAAAAGGAACGTTCACCTGCCCTTGGTGAAACCATTGAGTTCTGTTTTGACTGGAAGAAAAGATGACTCCTAGATCTTATCAGAGATGGGAAAGAGACCAAGGCCATCTGCCCCAGCCCCCTCTGGCCTAAACCAGCCTCCAAGCCCCACGCTGAGGCTGCCTGGGTGAGGTCAGCTCTTTCATAGAGGAGGAAATAATGATTTATCTCCCTTCACATAAAGTCTTCAGAAGCCTTCAAGGGTTGGGTTTGGGGGTTTGTTTTTGAGGGGGGGTTCCCTGTTTGTCCAGGCTGTTAATTATCACAGAATAAGTAACACTGTTTAGATGCTGTCAGCTCAGTGGTTACTTGGACAGATCATTGTTCCTGTAAAGTTCTGCCGGATTTAGCTTAAATGCCATCCATAAGTTTGGTTTACCTATAAAAAATTTCAGATTTTCAGGCTTCACCATAAAGAGTATTTCAAGGGGCAGGTAGGTGGCGCAGTGGGTAGAGCACAGGCCCTGAAGTCAGGAGGACCTAAGTTCAAATCCGGCCTCAGACCATAACACTTGACGCATACTAGCTGTGTGACCTTGGGCAAGTCACTTAACCCTGATTGCCTCACTAAAAAATAAAAAAAAAATTAAAAAAGTATTTCAAGCTAAGTTTTCCAATCCATATGGAAACTTCAGATACAATTGGTGAGCCAATCGTATTCCATTGAAGAACTCTCTCCCTTCCCCCCATTCTATGAACAGAGCTGTTAATTGTGCCAAAAACAATGGCCCTTAAGTGCATGGCACCACACCCGTGGGATTTTTCTTGGCATCAAACCTGGGAAGTAAGTCTACGGGGCAGTCAGGAGGACCTGAGTTCAAATCCAGCCTTAGACACTTAACACTTACTAGCTGTGTGACCCTGGGCAAGTCACTTAACCCTGATTGCCTCATCAGAAAACAAAAACAAAAAAAAGTCCAGGTACATTTTTAAAGCTTTAAAGTTACAGAACTTTTCTACCAGCATTCATTTGATAAACATTTATTAACCACCTACTGTAAACATGTCCAATTTTCTGTTGCTTTTCCAAGAGCCTATCACCCCATCTTCCAGCCTCTGCTGTAAGTTTCGCATGAAAAAAAAGTGGGAGAATCGGCTTACTGTGGGGCCTGAGCTCCCCGAGGGCTATGGGGCTCCCATGGGGCTTCTTTGCTGAGCTTTTCCCCTGAATGCCTCTCAGGCAGGAGGAGAGATTGCTTGATTGAGTCAGATAACATGGGTTCAAATTCTGGCCCTGCCTCTTCATACCCCAGTGGCCAGAACAAGCCTCTTCACTTCCCCAGGTTTGTTTCCTCAGTTGTAAGTAAGGGGACTGTGCTGGAAGAACTCTGGGTCCCCCTCCAGGCCTAAATCAATGAACTGCTGATTTGTTCCTTTGATAGAGGCCATCTCATTTCTGGGTTGGTTGGTTTTTTTTCCTCTTCTGAATAGTACCAGCAGTTAGGTGGCCCAGAGGATAAAGTGCTGGGCCTGGAATCAGGAAGATTCGTCTCCCTGAGTTCAAATCTGGCCTCGGATACCTCCTACCTGTAGGACCCTGGGTAAGTCACTTAACCCTGTTTGCCTCAGTTTCTTCATCTGTAAAATGAGCTGGAGAAGGAAATGGCAAGCCACTCCAGGACCTTTACCAAGAAAACCCCTAGTGGGGTCACGAAGGGTTGAACACGATGAAACTCCTGAACAACAATAGGAAATGAGATTTCATCAACTAGGAGTTAGGGAATTGTCTACTGAGAGGTGGGTTTCTGCCATGGGAAGCAGGAGATGGGAAGGTGGTTTTCCCAAGGAAAACCCAAGGTGGCCATGGGAGGGTTCCCTGGGGACTCACAGTAGCCAGAAGGAACTCTGGT